CTTTCGTTCCCAAAAAAATCATGTTTTACACCATTGCATTAGTAGTTATTTGGCGAGGCATACGACTAGTAGTCGAGCCTCACATGTGCATTCTGTTTACTCGATTTTGGATGTGAAACCTTCAATTGGTTTACTTTGATGATTTTAGGGTTTCTTGGCGATTAAAGCCAATCTGAAGTGAAAACTTTTGAAGTGTCTGTACTTGAACCGGTGAGTGTACCACTCCCCTCACTTGTTGTTTAACTCGGTTTCTGAACATACAATCTGTGATATGAACGTCTGAACTATCTGTTTATTTTGTTTGAGACGAGAGTGTACTTTATCACACTCGTTCTCTTGTCTGTTTATATGTCAATTTTGGTACAAATCTGAATCTGTTATCTGTTATCTGTATCTGTATCTGTATCTGTTCGAACGTCGTTTGGAAGTTTGTATCCAACGACCTTTCTGTGACCTCTGAGCTCAACCCCTGTGGCAAGTTACTCGAGTCGAGTCGGCAAGGGCCTGATCGATTAGATAACGAACCACGGTAGTCTGTTTTGGAATTTTTGGGTATTGAAACCCTTGATTCCGGGTATACTCGAGTATTATCATTTCTGTTTTTGTTGAGGTGAGCGGGCCCGGTAAAGGGGTGTTTGGTGGACGGAATTTGATGTAAAGTGGGGTCTACGGACGCGTTGGTTCTATATACATTGACGGAGAGTCAACCGGCTTGGATCAAGTACTGCGCTGGAAAACTGGCTCCTGAGAGCCACCTGTATCCTCCCTATTTGAGTTCTTGTGTTTACCTGTCTTACTTTATAGCGAGCATGTGTATCTGATTTGTATATCGTGAAATGCCATGATTTTTCTGCTACATGTTTGGTACCTCATTGGGCGTAAGCTCACCCCCTCCTCGTTATTTTTGTTTTCCTTACAGGAACCTCTTTTGGAAATCATGATTTTGAGAAGCGAGTTGAGCTAGTTAGATAATCTTTTGTTCTTTTGTATAGCTCCTCGAGAGTGAGCAAACTCCAAATGTATTTCATTTCACTGGTTCCACTTGTATTGTAAACCTAACGACATGTATATATGAAAGTGTTTTCTCCATGTGATTTTGGTAAGTTACTTGTAAGCTTGGCGGTCTTCAATCGTTCAATTCTTTTTGGGTCCTATCGCGCGTAATATAGGATTTGTGTGGTTCCACTCCGTAGTCCTGACGAGAGCTGGACAGGCGATCCGCCGAACCCTTTGGTTCGCCTTAGGGGAAGGCGAAGATGTCACATACAGACTGTTGGTACAAAAAAAAATGCGCACAGCAAAAGTTATTTCATTACATATTAAAAATTATATGAGAAGTATGGGAAGAGGAAGAAAATAAATGTACAATAAATACTCAACAATTTTATAAATTTAGTACTCAATAATAAAAATATTAAGTCGTAACTTTTCATAACTCACAAATCTCAACTTAGAGACTTTCTCTCGTACCTACTTTTCAAGACTCGACTCGATTCAATTTTTCAAATAACGACTCACTACACTACTAGTATTTATAGATTGCAAAATTTCCTAAACAAACACAATTGCAAACCAAAACTTATTTGGAATTGATTTGAGATTTCCTACTCTAATATGGAATCTAAACAAATAGGAACCACAACCAAAAAAAAAAAAGAATTAGGAAATAAGCAAATAGAATGGTTTAGTTTAATTCCGTCATTGCCATTGTCAAACTAAAATCTTCATTGTGGTCATGTCTAATGCAAACCCAACCCACCCCCCCACCCAAAAAAAAAAAAAACACGAAGAGAAAGTGCCGAGAGTTTGTGAGATATAAAGAATTGACGAGAGGTTGTGAGACATGAAGAATTGAGAAGTTTGCCTGCTGAAATTTTTGTTTTTCTTCGTTTCTTTCTTTAAGCAGCGCCGCCACTTGTTTGTTTACTAGCATGGGTCTGGCCGTGCCATGCACCGGCCTGCCCAGTAATATCATTAACTAAATTGTGGGCCAAAAAATTTTTGCTGTCTATTTAGCTCTTTTGTTGTTTGTGTCTGCTGTAGTAATGAGGATAATTTGCTCAAACTTCATAATGTATTTGTCAGTTCAAGGGGTAAATCATATGCAAATCACAACCATAGATTACATAAACCAAGCCATTCATGTTTTAGCAGGACATGTACTTTAGTGCTAGCCACTACATAGTAGCAGCTCTAAGTAAGATTCATTGCTTACGGAAGTGTTGCATTGCTAACTAAACTATTAATAGTTATATTGGGATCTATTATTTCTTGAGTGAAAAGAATAATGGATCGTAACATAATTCAAAAAAGATTGTCTAAGCAATGGAGGCAGTCATTCAGCTAGTTAACAAAAGACTTAACAAAAGTACAAATTTAGGCAATTTCAGACCTGCTTGGCTTTAACTTTCTTTGCTGGACTATCTTAGATATTGCTAGGCGGAGTGTTCTATTGAGCTGTTTCTTTAGTAGACTGCTGAGTAGTCTCTGTTGGATGTTTGCATGGTGTTTTTGCTGGTAAATTTTCATTCCGCGATGGACTTTCTAGAAAGCCATGGCTTCTTTTCACTCTTCTGCTTGTACATATACAAGCAAATTCTTGATTTCTTTCTTGTTCAAAGTACACCTAAATGATTATAGTCAGAATACAGATAGAGAAATCACCATGGGAGTGCATTGATATTTTATAGTCAAAAGTAAAAAGAAGATTAAATTTACCATTGCCTCAAAAAGAGTTCACCTGGCAGTAGAGGATTTATTAGAATATCAGACGACTATCTTGTAGTGAATGACAAAACTGCAGAAATCATGAAAATTTTTAGTAAGACAGAACTACAGAAATCATGAAAGTTTTTAGTAAGAGAATATATGAAGCATTTAGAAGTCTATTAGTAAACAATTATAATGCATAGAGAAAGTTTTACTATTGAATGTAGTTACTTTGATGTGCATAACTATGATTAGGGGGGCAGTGTTAATCATGTTTGCTATTTTGCTTCCTTCATCATGTTCAAATTCATTGTACAAAGTGATAAGCATGAGTCTTTTCCTATCAGGTATAGAAAAGAATTGTAAGTGTTATCCTTGATCTAAAAGATAGATATAACCTAATCCAAAAAACTACCATCTCACTTATTCTTTCAGGCATAAAATCATACACATAATAGTACTTAAATTTAATGCAATAAGCCAAACCTTGTTAAATCACTTTGAAACTCAAATCTCTACCTTGATGCAGACAAATCTAAAAATTAGAAAAAAAAAATATAAATCATTGATGGTGATTTATAAGAACAACAGGCGCGCCTTTTTGACAAAAGGGAAAATGATTCCAAGTAAAAAAATATAACTACGAGTAGAAGGAGGGAAGAGAACAATTGTACCTATGTTTTCGCTACTCTCTTCAATATTGGCGAAACTGAGAAAATGGCATAAGAAGGCTTCGTTGTTTCCCTTTTTGTGTAAATGGTGGGTTTTGGAAACTGTACCATACATGATTAAGAAATTCTTTTATACTAGGAGGCATATAACGCGCGTTGCGCGTTGGGATAAACATAAAATATGCCCCCTTAAGCATGTGGATTCATGGAACAAAAATGTTTGTTGGTTAATAATGTGTACACAGCTAAGCATAAATATACATGAATAAGTAGACGGCAAAATCGTTTTATAAAAATAGTACGAATATTTATTTAGATTTATAGAGCGGTACTGCTAGGATTTAAAGTTAATATTTTTTTAGTTAAAATTTGGTGAATTCTTCTCCTATCTTACTTTATTACTCGTTTAGCATGAGAATAAAGTTCAGCATTTTTCATGAAGTGCAGAAGCATAGGATGTGATGATCTGAATATATCATACTTTATAAGAGAGAAAAAGTACTGTCGAGATATAGAACTACTTTCGTTGGAACTTGGGAAATTCTTCTTTTATCTCACTTCATTTCTTGTTTAACATGAGAATCAAGTTTACTATTTTTCATGAAGTGTAGAAACATAGAGTGTGACCACAAGTATATATTATGCTTCATAGGACAAAAAAGGGAAATACTAAGCTAAATTTGAAGGCATTTTCATTATATATAGCAATACTGATCCAATTGTGATTATAGTAGTTTGAAAAAAAAAGTGATGGAATTCTCATATTAGTTGACTATGAGTTAATCGAGTTGATCAATGAAATAAAAATGAAATGGGTACAGTTTTTGAATTCCTCTTTAGTTGAATTGGCTAACAATAAAAGAGTTCTAAAATTGTGAAATATAAAGAAATATCTCGCTAACGCAAAGAGTTCTAAGATTGTTGAACTGTTTTCAGATCTTTCCGTAATTCATTGATGGTGACATAATCCTTTACTAACAATCATTTCTCTCCTACTAATAAACTGGAAAATATCATGATTTATGAATTTCCTTTGTTGCTTTGTATTTGCAGGACTGGGAGATTGTAGTAGCTTTAGAAAAGCTGGCGGGGTGCCAAGAAACTATTTTAAACTGGAAAATTGTAGGACTGAAAAGTAGTTAAAGGCATTGGCTTCACCCATAAAGGCTGCTCTTTTTGATAAGGCCCTTTTTGATAAACTATCCTGTTGTTGCCGCCATGACAACTTCTGAGAAGAATACTCGCCAGCGGTCATCTTTTCTAGATAAAATGTCATCTCTTCTAGATAAAATGCTAGCTGAAGACAAATATGTGACCAAGGATCTCAAGTCTCCTAAAGAATATTTATTCTTGATAAACTATAACGGTTATTATCCACCAAACATTCTTATTTCATGAACCTATGTTTAATTAGGCATGTTTTTTATTCATTCCAATGCACATCACGCGGTTTATGGCTCCTAGTAATAATGCTTTCATCAATCACATTTCAAATACTCATCAAACAAAGGAAAATAGAAGCCCCATATAAAACTCTCCAATTTCAGAGTCGGGACCTAAATTTTGCAACAAATTCAATCAAAACATCAACTAAATGAATTATGGTTCATACACTCCCTGAGAGTCACAACATTACAACATCTTTAAGTTACAATTTTTGGCCTATCTCTTCTACTTGAAGTTGCTGTGAGTTAGCCTGGAACTCTGTCATTTGTACATGATTGTATGAGGATGGTACTTTTGAAAAGAAAAAAAAAAAAGGCATGAGAAGGAGGGTCCTATTTTACATCTGACTGCTTCAGAAGTCCAGTCAACTTTGACTACTTCTGCAACAACGTGGATGTAAGGAGGAGCTACACAAGACACTTTTTTAATGGCTGTATTTCCAAAAAGAAAGCATGCGGACACCATAATTTGATTGCCATCAATAAATGATATAGGACCATCAGATTGTTGGTGCGGAAACGAAGGCCAGAACCAATCTGCTCTGAGGTGGGACATACCCAGCAAAAGATATTTGGACCTAAAACCTGCAAGTCAAGTAAATCATGTATAAATGCCTAGAAAGCTAAGACCATATCTCGGAGAGCATGTTGTACCATGATATCTACAGTATTAGTTAGTAAACTTCTATGCACAAGAAGCCTAATTTGATCAGCCAAATGAAGTGCCTACTCTAGGCTCTCTTATTTGCTACTAAGAACAAGAGAAGAGAGAAACGACTTACTGATATCATATTCTCATAAGTACCAAGATCATATGGATGTGAATACAGATAACCTCCTTTTTCAGTAAGCCACATAACTCTCACACCTTCATGGTACTGTACGGTAAAAAAGGTAGGAAGTGGTCATCAGACTTGATCAGATGCCAGATAGATGAAAAAAAAATACTATCACCACCAATGCAAACCTCTATTGTGGTCTTGTTTTGCATAATAAGATAAACACGCCAAAACATAAAGATGGTCAGCGCGAGAGTCAATGGCACCAGCAGGATCCCTGAAATGACCTGAAGACTACTGTTCAAGTTGAATGCAAGGATATGCAAAATTATAACTTGTTGAAATATAGATACAGGAAGAAGTTACATATGCAGCTCTAAAAAAGCCTTTATTTTGCTCTTCATCTGTTGTAGAATCAACTGTTTTCTACCGCAAAGCAAAACCTAAAACAATAAAGAGCAACTAAAGAGATTCAGAAGACTTGGTGAAAAGAAAAGGAGGAGAAGGTATGAACAACAAAATCCGCATTCAAATTAAGGCAAGTTCGACCACAGGCCACAATAATTAAATGTCAACTAATAGGTAAATAAAATGAAAAAGGAGCACAGAATAGAAAAATAAGAATCTTTTACTGAACTGAAAGAGATATATTGATATACCAGGGAGTATATGCATGAAACAACGGCGTAAAGAAGAAATAAGAAGTAAAAAGAAAGATGGTTACATTCAATCTTATCATCAATCGGAGCATTTGGGTGAAAGACTGAAAGAGAGCGTGCAAACTCCTCAAAATCTAATATCCCATTATGCTTTGTGTCAAACAAGTCAAATACCTGGGAATTTTTAATGATTTTGTCATCGATTATCAAAAGGGAAGGTGACTAAATTTGAATACTTTCCGCACAAAGAGAACAGGGGGCATCGGAAAACAGCTCAGAAAAGCTATATACTCCTAATGGAGACAGACATGAATCAAACATATCAATTCTATTGTTCAACATTTGCAGAAAGTACCCGATCAGCAAACAAGCTCTCCTTTTTATTTGTCTTAAATAGTGCAAGTTGAAACTCTTCCTGCAAAGCAATTAATTAGCATAATTAAGGAAAAAACATAAATCAACTACAAAATATAGAAAAACAAAAACATGAGGGATGTAACTGAGACAGAAAAAGTACAAGTCACTACATTGACAGTATGGCTATGTTTGAATAGCACTTGTACCACTTACAGTGAAATCTATTACCTTGTTGATAAGCCTATCATCAATCACAACACTGCTGATCTTCTTAAATAATTCATACAGTGCCTCTATCTCACTGACACTGACTGCAGCTAGATTTTCCAAAAATGGGGAAAAGAAAAAAAAATAACAGCAAAATTTCCAAATCAGAACAACTGGTAGACAACTGATATAAAAAAAATTCTTATCAGCACGAAAATGAAGTAAGCTCTGAATATTAGAAATTCCATTTAGTCAAGGAAAATGAGCTGAGCACGGTACAAAGAAGACAAACTCTCCAGATGGCCCCATTTTAGGCAATCTACTACTAAGAAAATGCACCACATTTTCAAAAAACACTTGTAAGGTCTGCAAACCTCAACATCTTTGTTAGACCATTTATCACATAGGAGATATGCGAAGTAAGAACCAGCTAGATGATCATGTCTACTATCTTCAAGACTATTTAAATCATCTACATGTGCTTAAAATAAGTGTGGTCTCTTCATGATTAATATCTTCTACGCCACTACTTTCTTGTATACCTTTGCCTTTCCTTAGATATGACACCAATTCTCCAAAAGAAGCCATGGTTCAATCTGTGGCCTGAGCTTGCATCAAGTTAAGACATGGCACTTGATATTGACATGGAAGGAGGAGTCACCAAGTGCTAGAGAAACTCCTTCGGTCTTTGAGAATTTATATGGACACTGGTAACTTATTTTTGCCTCATGCAGCTTTAACTCAGAGCTTAAATGCACTGTGAAAAGAATAGCATAGAGCAAATACTGCAGTCTTTGTTAATTTAAATCACCCCTGGCCAATCAGCAGTAGAAATTTCAGTCCAGTCAGATGCCAGAAGTTCAACTAAGTAAAATTAATTTCTCAATTTGCGCAACAATTATGTTGATGAAGCACGTGCCATTCAATGAAAATACGGCTACGTGATCTAAGTAACAGTTTCGTTTCCTTCAGTATGAAAAAAGAAATGCAAGTGACATAACATAGGCTCTTAGTACAATGCTAGAAATCAGTCTTGAGTGACATACAGATAGTCTCCCTTGCAAGAGCTTCAGGATTTTCTAATCCTCGGGGTTGCTTATAAATTTCAGAATCACAGCAATTGACAACAACAGCAAGTAAATGCTTCACACCGTCTAAGCAACGCAACATGATATCTTACAGAAACCAAAACACTCCATACCTGTAAATTAAATGTTACAAAATTTTTGACCTATCATTTCAGAAAAAAGTGTTGATGCTTGAATTAGTGAAAAAACATCCAATGATATGTCAAAGAATAGGATATACTTAAAAGGAATACAAATCAATGAGATAACAGTAAAAAAAACCCAAAAGAATGGACTGCAAAAGAATAGGTAATTGCAAACAATTGAAGGTGTAACTTGTCCATACACTTTTGTCTTTAACTGAAGACATCACCTTTTAATTCATTAATGTGTTTTCCATACTTTTGATATACTTGCACAACATAGTTTCTTTTTTCTTTTTTTGAATAGAAATAAAAGTATTTGGCCATACAGTAGCACGAACACAGTTGAATTGTTTACTGATGATAGCAATATTGAATCAGTATCTTAGTAAACATGATATCCTCGTGTGCTTATATGTCAGTAAAAAAAAAATAACATACAAAGATATGTTCCAGAATTTTTGAACTACAAACGCTGATGTTTAAAACCTGATAATGCATACAAATTGAACTTAAAACCAACTTATTTATTAATCTCCTCATTGAATTAATAGCTGATGTGTATGGCTGAGCGATAGAAAAAAGAAAGGATAGAATCCACCATAGCACACCCAATGTTAGAAAAGCAGAAATCAAGCATACTTGGAGTCAATAATGAAGAACAGAAACCAAAAAAGTGAACTGACTACAACAGCCAGACGAAAAACGACACCATGGCCACCAGATAATCAATTATTTCAGTTTAACATTTATGTAATTCAAAGTAGCTCATACGAACATAACATTCCCAAAAGTCTGGACTTTCTGAAAGAGAACAGATGCTGAGACCCCAGGATCTAGAGGTCCCGGGTCAAATCCCCCTTCCCCTATCCTGCTTCCTAAATTCCAACCCTCCCCTGCCAGGAGAAGAAAAAAAGAAAAGAAGAAGAAGAAACAGAACATAAAATTCCTTTTTTTACACGGCTGTGCTCCTGCCAGTCAACAAATAATGATCAGCTCAATAGTCCAAAACCAATGCTTGTAAGGAAGCCCTTAACCACCAAACCCGGTTTGTACCCCACAATCCTCGATGCTGATCCAATATGGAAAAACCCCAACAGTTCGAGAAAATATCACATTAGTAATATCCCATAATTTTTTCAACATTTATAACACAGAAAAGAAGATTTAGATTAAGAAAAACAAAAGCCCTGACACTGGCATAGACTGCAAGCAAATGCCAGGTAACAAAGCAACAAAATTAGAGATTATTTTAATTTGCGGCCACACTGCTGCAAATTTTAACTGACAGTCAACTAAAGGGAAAGAAAGGGAAACCAAATTATCACATCAATCATCAAGGACAGTCTTTTTTTTCCAAGTTAATTTTACCTAAATATTTGCACTGGAATTTAAACAATAAAAAAACTGAGATATTGCGCAAACATATACTACTATGGTATGTCAAAGCACAAGTGTATGATAACAAAAAAAACATCAGAAGCAGCAAATGCAGTGATTCCAATGCTCTACTCTGTGTAATGTTCAGCTACAGAATGTCAAATATGAATTATGTTTCTAACTCCATACGGACAAGTTTACTCACAGTAGTCCCTATCTTGTCTTTTGAAACAAGGTCATCATCCACTAAACTCTGGACAACATCTTTCACCAGCCTTTATTGGGACCCAATTACTCCAGCTCCTTGATTCAAAACTCATGAGAAAAATTCAGAATCCAAGAGGTAGAAAAAAGAAAAAGAACAATGTCAATTCATAAAGGAACATTAAAAAAAAAAATTGAACACATAAAACCAATGCTCTAGAAAAAAAAAAATAGGAGGAAAAAAGTACCTCTTGCTTGACGGTGGCATAACCTAAAGGAATCCATCTTTCTTTTTGGGATTACTGCTGCTACTAATAACTAATATAGCTATTAGGATTGTTACAGTCAAACCTACAATAGTAAAGGTTAAGCACTCAATTTAAAAAAATCACCAATAATAAATAAAGGGCACTAAATGAAAATGATTAGATGGTCCATACAAATTTAGAAAAATAAGTAGATCCTAGTTCAATTAATGGAAAAAATACCCTAAGAAATAAAACGGAAAAAAAGAACGATTTTCTGTTTTCTTTCTTTTTTAGGAAAAATCAGAAAAAAAAATCCCGTCATCGTGTGCAACTATGACAGAAAAGAAATGGAACAGTCCAGAGTCTAAAAAAACCACATCACAAAACACACAACTACACACGATCTACATAGCCTCGAATCTGCAAGGGAGGACCAGAAAATGGGGAAAAATAATAGCGCAACGCAGGGGGGAAAAAACGCAAACACCAACGTCAAACCCGTGTAGATCAGATAACGGAAAAGCCAAACAAAAAATACAATGCAACAAAAAAGGCAAGATCGATGCTAACCGGGGAGGAAAAACACCAGAGGAGGAAACAGGGAAAAGGGGCATCGAAGGAAACATACCGGTGCAGAAGGCGAAGTGGCGACGGTGGTTACTGTTGGCAGTCCCAGTTTCGAGGGATCTGAGGAGCGGCGGCCGAGGAGAAGAAAACCGTCTTCTGTTGAAGAAAGAGAGGCAAAAAGAATAAAAAGGAGTACAAATTGAAAAAAAAAAAAGAAAAAGAAGCTAAGAGCAAGGAGGCTCACCGCGGCTGAAGATTTTGGTCGTATAATTTTGGTGAGGAAAGGGGCGGAGAGGAGAAGCGGCGGATCGTATTCCCGGATCGTAGACAGATGACGCAGACCGTAGGAGGCAAGATCAAGATTTATGGAGTCATCATCCACCAGGTGTTGGTGAACTGCAGCACCGGGCGAGTAATCTGTTGGCGTTGGGATGGGTTTAGCTTCTGAGGATAAAGGTCGGGCGAAGGAGATAAGGGGAGAAGAGAGAAAGCGGCGGCAGCGGAGGAAATTTACGAAAACCCTAGAGAGGAAGTATATGCAGAAGTTGGCGCATCGCGCGGGAAAAAAAAGGCTGGTGACTCACATGCTTGGCACGTGAGAGGACGACGAAAACCATCCAAGTCATCACAACCCTTCGGCTCTTTATCTACTTATGTTGAAAAGCAAACATCACTTCAGGAAAGAGAAGAATTTCACTGTTAAATTCAAGCCTAGTACAAAAATGATTGATAAATTGGTACAGCATTCATCCCTAAAGTGAGCAGATTTTTGGGGAAAAAGAAAATTTTACGTGCATATGGAGGATTTTTATGGCTGCAATCGAAGGAAGTACATTTAGTTGTTGAGGGACTTGGTAGAAAAGTAAGGAAGGATTTTGCAGGCTGACAGCCAGCTATGTCAGCTAAAGAAAGAGGAGGACCGAGAAAGCTTTGGGGTCTTGACTCTTGAACCTAAAGAATGACTAAAAATGTTTAAGACAAAAATTCATTAGGGTTAAGTGTTAGACTAACCTCTTGCAAATTTGGATGTTTCACTAATTGACCGGCCTAATATGACTTACACTAATTAGACTCACTCCATTATCTAGTTAATAATCAGAAAAGAGCCCATGTGATGAATGGAGCCCACAAACAGTATACAACTATTTGCATTTGATCACAAAATTATAAAGGAATAATTTCAAATGTACAAAAATGACCCTGAATAGTTAGCAACTATTTTGATAGGTAGCTTTCATGGAAGGACCCAACTGACCTTTGCCACCAATAAAAATACAAACAAAAGAAAGAAAGGAAAATAATTAAGCTGTTATTACCAATTAGCCCCAAATAGTATGGAACTATTAATACTTACAATATCGATACCAAGTCCCAAATAGACATTTCTCACTCCTTAATGCCCAAAATAAAGAAATGAAAATTGCTTCCTCCAAATAATACCTTAACACTTGGCATTCAATGAGAACTTGAGTTGTTCTCTTATCCAGTAGGTAGATATATCTTTCCGCTGCCAAGTTACCTCTTGAGTGTGAGACCTGTTTATGCTGTTTGTCCTGTGGATTGGTTGAGTTCCTGCATAGACACTACAGTTCAACAACAGCCGAACGACTTTTGAGTTTTGCCTAGCCGCCACAACCACTGCAGCTTGCAAGGCCCGGCAAGTATAATATCCAGCAATTAGCTGCATTAATTAGAAGAATAAAGCTGTTGTTAAATCTCTTGGATTTTTCTCTCTGCCGATTGAAAACAGAAATCGTGGGCGATTTTAATAGACTGAACCAGCAGTATAGGTTGGAACATCCTTCAACACAGCTGCATTAATTTGATATACATATAGATATAGTCATTCAATTCATCATTAACTCAGAAGTGTGCCTTACGAATCTTGACTTTTAACAATCAACGTCATTCATATTGTCTATACCATTTGTCTTTAATGAGGCTCTTTTCTTGATTGGTCAAAGTCGACTAGTGATTTAATATGTCTGCCAAGTGCCAAGCATTTTCTTGTAATAGTATATGCTTTCATCATTGGAGATTTGTTAAGGAAAAAGAGTCTAATCCTAGATAGATACAAACTCTTCTAATCTGTAGTAGTTGTTTGACCACTTCCACAGATGATGGGGATGAACCAAGTCATAACATAGATGCGAATCAATAATATTCCAGCTGCTTCAGTTGCCCTCTTTTACCTAACTCCTGTTGTCAAGTCATTTCCAATTTTTGAAGGAACAATTCTCTGGAAAGCTAGGAAAAAGGAAGAAAATAAATGTTTTGATTGGTGGATTTAATAATTTTGTAGAACCCAAAAGAATTCCGTGAGATCTTCACATCAATACCTTATATTTAGGGAACGTGAAATTAAGATGGGTAATGGGAAATTATCTACATCTATCGGCAAAGGCAAAAATGATACTATAAAATGAGTATGAAATAGTACGTATAAAATGTCAAGGTACGATATTTTTAACAAGTTAAAATTAAAAAAAAAAATAAAGAGCCTTCATTGGATTTCAAGAAAGGAAAGTTCGATATCGTGAGTACTACCCAATACAATGTGAATATGTGATCACAAGTCACAACCAGTTAAAATCATCACTTTCTTACATTTTTCTTATTGGTCATTTTCAAATTG